CTTGGGGAGTCAGAACCTAGAGATGTCTCAAGGAGATGCAGTGCCCAGATCCATGGCGCTGCCCTGTCCCACCTACAGCGCAGCCATGCCAGCACGAACCCGGCCCTCCTCCTGCCTGGGCTGGGTGGAAGGTCCCTCCCACACCCCCACATCCCAGCCAGCCCCACAGAGCTCCCCCCACCCTATAGCTGAGCCAAGCAGCTCCCTCAGGGTGCAAGGCGCTGTACAGGTACGAGTGCAGGTGTGGAATAAGCAGGACCATTCCCAGGGTGACCCCTCTCAAGCCTCTCCTCAGGAGCCTGTCGGGCTGGAAACCCTCCTGGAGCGCAACACCGGTCCTGTTCACATCCCACACAGCCCATCTGCTCCTCTTCTCGCTCATCCCCGGCCCCGCGCGTGCCACGGCCTGCCTGTCCCTGCCCACGGGCAGCAGCACGTGGGCTCGGCGACGGGAAAAGCAGGCCACATCTCAGCGTGGGCCTCTCGCCTATTTTCCCGGGCACTTTTTGCAGGAGCAGAAGCCATCACATGAAAAAGTTCAAGCTGGTTCCCGAGCAAAGGCAGGAATAAAGGCATTGCCTTGCCAGGGGAGAGCGGGCACTGCTGCCCCATCCCTCCCATCTCTGCTCTGGGAGGGGATAATGGGGACCTGTGCTCTGCAGAGCCCAACACAAAGGGAAAGGCATGGCTGAGCCTTCCCAAAATAGAAGTACCCGTGCTCTCACATGGACCAGCGCAGATGACGCCTTTCTGCAGCACGTTTCAGCAGACTATTAAAACGAAGGGCATGGAGACGCTGGAGATGGACCACAAGGCTGTCTGTAAAACCTCACACTTGTCCCTTTGAGACACCCAGATGGAGACTCTCATAGGGCTGGTATGGGGCTGGCAGGTGGCGCTCCCACACAGTGCTCTGGCTTTGCTGTGACCCAGCACACCCCTACATGAGCAGTGGGGCCTGGATGCAAGGGAGCAGCAGGAACAGGGGTGCCCTGCGATAGGGGGGTGGTCATCTCCAAACAGTCTACATTGCTGCTGCTGCTGATATCATCATCATCATCATCATCATCAATCTCACCACTATTCAGGAGCCAGGGTTGTACCCATAGCTCAGGCAAGGAGCAGCAGCCCCAGCCTGAGCTTAAATAGCCCCCCCAGCCCCAGATGATTGGGATAGGGGGTGCCAGGTGAGGCTGCTCAGGGCCATTGGTACCAATTAGTGCAATCACTGCCCCGGCAGTGAGGAAAGGGCCAGGGTGGGTTTGGGGCAGGGTGTGCAGAGGGGACACAAACAGCTCTGCGGGGGTAATGGGGCCATTCCTGTAGGTCTGTCCTCGCTGACCCATGGCAGGGCCCCATGGGGGGTGGCTCCCCTTCCCCTTGTCCACAGAGAATCGGGGATTCTCTGAAAGAAAGGGCCAAACCATGGGGCAAAGGGGCATCCCAGGGTACAGCCTCTACGTGGCCGCGCTCACGGGCACCTGCAGAATCACACACGTGTGCCCCCCGCAGCCCCGCAAATATGTGCAATAGGCACACGTGTATATACATATTCACACACATCTGCAGGGACCCACACACGGAGGGAGCAAGGGGACCGGCAGGGGCTGCGGCAGGACTGTTGTGGCTCTAAGGGGGTCTCCAAACACTGGGGGGGGCGCTGAGGGAGGGAGTGCCCGGGTGGGTGTTGGGCAAGGGGTATCAGTGGGGGGCTGGGGAGACCCAGGGTGGGAGCTGGTCCGGGGGGCTTCAGCTTGCCAGGCTGCAGGAGGCTGGGAGCTGAGCTTGGGGTGCTCAGGGTGGTCTGGGGGACCGAAGTGGGGTGTTGGGGGGATTTGGCATCACCTCGGTGCACAGGGGAAGCGTCCAGCTGTGCCTGGCGGTCCTCGGCTATGTGACCCGGGGGTACCCGGTGGTGCCAAGGGCTCCCTCCTCCACGGGGGCACCCCGTGATTAGAGGCACCCCCGAGTTGGGGCGACCACCCCGGCAAGGCTGTGCCGGGGGCAGCAGCCTGCGCTGGGGGCCGGGCAG